GGGGGGGGGGGAAGGAGGGGTCACATAAGGCGAAGGACAGACTAGAAAGAAAGGAGACAGGAAAAAAACCCTAATAAATAAACAACAGCAGCATCGTCTTCATGTGCATGATAATACCTCTTCTTTTTCATTCAAATTTAGTGAATCCCTGCGTCAGGAGGTTCAGCTTAGCCATGTCGTACGAGACACGAACATTTCCTTCTTTAGCTAACTCCGTGTCGGGGGAGGGTGTACAGCTCAAAGTCATTTATTTGCCCGTCAGAATGATGGAACGAAAGACAAAAGGAAAGAGGAGTAGACAAACGATTTGAGTCATCAATCAAGGGAGCAGTTAGTCTGGAGAAGCCACAGGTGTATGGGTACTGGCTGTCTGATTTATACACCGAGGGGCCTCTCTACGTAAGACAAGCAAATCATTAACCCCAAGTGGTTCTTACTATAATATCATTTTGAATGAAGGTAAAATACGAACAATGGTAAAGAAAAAAATAGAGAATGGTTGAAGAAAAAAAGAAGAAAAAAAATCCCAAACAAATTGAGAAAGGTTAGGGAACCATCGAAGGGCTTTAAAACGAAAGTGAGAGAGGAGCCCTGAAATGTCAGCCAAAACAAAAAGAAAGAAAAAACAAGAAAGAAAAAGAATAAAAGAAATAAAGAAAGAAGGAGGGAAAAGAATGAAGGAAAGAAAAAGAAATATATATGTATTTATATTGTAGTGTTAAAAGGTGAGGGGTTTCCCTTTCCAGCATCGCCTTCTTCTGCTCGGACCTCTGCGGTGGATATGAGTAGAAACGATAAATAAACAGACAAGGCCTACACCCGTCTCTGTTTATCTCGGCCACAATGGGAGCGCGCGCGGGCGAGTGAGCACAAAAAGCTGTGTACCAGATCGTTGCTCTGACAACTTTTGACTCGAGCAAGGTTCTTTTTGTGTTTTGTTTGGTTTCTTTTTTTGTGGCTGTTACTATGAGACCGACTTGTTTAGAGTATTTTCATGTTCTTTTTTGTTTCCTTTTTTTTCTTTTAAATTGAAGTGATTGTGATGGTGATAAGATATATAACACCCCCTCCCCCCTCTCTTTGCTTTTCTTTTTGCCCTTTCTCTCTTTCTCTCCCTCTCTTCTTCTTTCTCTCTCTCTCTCTCTCTCTCTCTCTCTCCCT